ACAAGAAGTAAAAATGAATAAAATGTAAAATACAGGATGTGTGATGACCTGTCTGCTTTTTAGTTTCAGTGAGTAAACTCTGAATTTTTACATTATACTAATAAATTTCTAAGTTAGTGGGAGCTTTGTAATACAAAACACAACACCCAATTTAAAACAAAATCGAAGAGTCTGAAAAAGATAAAAATGGATAAGGAAGAAAATCAGATGCCTCAGCAGAAGTGCATAGAAGCAATATGACAGAGAGCTCAAATTAAGTTTCCATAGAAGGGAAAAAAAACCCCCACAAGAGATAAGAGAAGGGACCAGACACTGACATCTGACTGTAATGCATAATATAAGCATAACACATGATTATTGCTGATTAAAATCTCTTAAAACAGAAAAAGCTCTGACTTTCTTGGTAAAAGCTTGGATTTGATTAATATTTTAATAAAAAACTAAAGACAGGATATCAATATTACCAAAAGTTCTGGAGTCATTGTCTTACAACAAAGCGAAGAAAAACATGGATGCATGTTGTGCAAACAATAAATTCTTCTCTACTTCAATCTCTCTGATCTTAAAACACTTCACAGCAGGAGACAGCCCTCAGTAGGACACAGGATCCAGACAGAACTACAAAATATTTAAGTGCTATTTACACAGAACCATAAGGAAGATGAACATAGAGACAATTTTCCTTTCCAGTCCATTACAAACAAGAAAAAATAAATGCAGACAGTATTGTGAATTACATCCAAGATGTCACCTGCCATTCCACTACAAGTTTGGGAAGCTTCAGCAAAGGCTGTCACAATAGCCTTTCACTGGCTTTTATAAGGCTCAGTGCTGTCACTGAATTTGTACTGCTCCTGGGGGCATGCAATCCCATCAGCTTCCTGAAAACACAGCCTATTTTTAAACACAAAGCAAAGTCAACAAGGACAACTACAACACTAATTTTTTAATGTTCAGAGTAGAATATGTCTAAATTTAGACCACCCAAACCAAGCATGATATCCCTCAGCAAGCATCACAAAGAATTTTCAGGATTTTCTCTTGAAATACCACAACTTGTCTCATCAGTAACTTTCTAGACAGACTTTTTGAACTGCATATAGGAAAGACTAGAAATAGATGGTCATCCATTCCCCATGTCACACAAAGTACTAGTATAAAAAATGCACACCAGTAAGGTATCTAAAAACAATCAGCTCATGAAGATGAGTTTTTTCACCTATTATGCACCAAGTGTGACGATGCATTGAGACTGTTTGAGACAACACTCTCCAAACAGAAACAGTCCCAACAGTGATAATTTAGTTGGCAACTATACCAGAGTGTGCTGTGGGAGCAGGTGGCCCAGAGCCCAGAGTCGTCGCTTCCTCTGCCAGCACCGTGTGAAACCACCAATTTAGGAGTTACCTGCTCCCCAACCCTTCTGCTTCCCCCATCTCCCCAATAGCTGGAGAAGAAGTAACAGTGTGACTCATGTCTTTATCCTGTAAAAACCTGGGTCTTTGCACCTGCTCAACAAAAGCTATTTTCGAGGACACAAATGCAAGGGGCAGCACTTTGGTACTGAACAGCTCCTTGTCCTCCAATAATGCCTCCTGATGGGACACCAGAGCATCTCATAGATATAATGCATTTGTCCCTTATGCTTAAGAAAGCAAAAGGGTATCAGGAATATTTAAACTAATCCCTATTAGGTCTCTGCGCAGCAAGTCACAGCACAAGACTTTAAACGAAGTTTATCACAAACAGACATATCCACTTATCCACAGCAACTCCTTCCAAACCTTTCAGAGCTCAGACTTCAACTCCATTCAACTTCTGAATTCATAAATGTTAATGCTTGTTTTTAACTTCAACATGAACTTTCAGGGCACTGTTCTGACAAGATCGAAGAAAACCAACCAAGTGACAATTGACACTCTTAAAGATATGGAAGGGAACTACAGAATGGAAGAAATTTCTCTTGCTCAGCCCTGAATCCTTATTTCAAGAAACCTGTATAATCAGCTGGAGGGAGCTCAGTGAAAAGACACTCATGCAGAAAGAATCAAGCACTGAAAAACAAGGTCTGTGAGGGAGGATTTCGAGAGTTACCAGAAAAGAAAAGGTTGAAAGGAGTGCTTTAAGTTACGCTTAAGGGGTTTTGCCTTTTTTTGCAGCAGTGTATCAGCCGAAAATAAGGTTTTCCTTCCTAGACCCAGCCTGTGAAACCCACACAGCACCGCTGTATCCCCCGTTCATCACCCGCACCGCTGAATTTTCAAACGTGCTCCCCCTGAAAGTTACTCCGCACTTAAACTTCAGCAGAGTCGGCGGCAGTAGCAGCAGCACCCGGACAGGTTTGCGGAGCCGCCTCCTGCCCAGGACGGGGCAGCGCCGGGGCCGAGCGGAGGTGGCGGGGCGGTCGCCCGGGACCGGGCGGGGCGAGGGACACGCGTGCGAGGACCCCCCAGCCCCGAGCGCGGGGCACTCACGGTCTCTGCAGCGGCTCCTCGGGCAGGGCAGCCGGGCCCTGCTGCTGCTGGAAGGAGCGCAGGGACTCGAACGCCTTCGTCAGCTTCTCCATGGTGGCCATGTCCGCTCCGCCCGCGCCGCCGGCACCGGCCCGCGCTCAGACCCGCCCTCTCGAGGGCGCCCCGGCGGGCCCGAGCGCTGTCTCACCGCCGCTGCCGCTGCCCCTGCCCCGCTGCCGCCGCAGTGCCGGCGCTGCGCGGGCCCGGGCCCGTCACAGCCGCGATAATGAATGGGGCGGGCGCCGCCCGGGGCCGCGGCCGCCTCCCGTCCGCCCCGCCGCCATCTTGGACCCGTCCCGGCGACCCCCGCGTCGCCGCCACCCCGCCCCCACCGGGCCGCCCCGCCTACCCCGGCCCGGCGTCACGCGCGGGCACGCGGTAAAGGGGCGGGCAAACGGGGAGAGTGACAGCCGCTCTGTCCAATCAGAGAGCGGACCCCGCCCCTCCCCGCGCGCCGGAGCCGCCGGGTCCCAGAGCCCGCCCGGCGCTGCTCTGCGGCGCCCCCTGGTGGTGAAAGGCAGCCGTGACCCGCGGCCCGTGAGGGGCTGGACCTTCCTCAGGGGGTGCTCCTCGCGCTTCTAAAGCACACGCTAAACACACAAGATACAAGAGACAGTATACAACATTTAAATCATTGATTAGATTACTAAGCACTTAAAAAGAAAATCAACAGTATTGTGAACTTTCCAATTGTAACCACTGATTTTAATACTCGCTGAATACAGATTGCAAATGACAGCCGATGAGACCTGGTAATTCAACTTATATCTCAAGCACATGAAACTGGGTGCCAGCAATGGAAATGGAGAACAGCTCTCGGAACTATTAAGAAAATAAATTTTCAGTAATTCGACTTGGTTATTGTTAGCACATATGAACAAAAGAAGTGAAGCTCATGTCTCTGAATATTCAGGCCAACAGAAGTCATCACATATTCCTGCCAAATATTCAGTAACTCAGCGCTCTGCCAGTTAACTTTATTAGCATGTTAATAAAAGACAAACCATTTGAAACATTCCTCTGCAGTAAACCTATCCACAGTACTGAAAGCAATTCAATTTAGAGCAAACCCCTATTTCATTATAAATGTGTAACAAAATGTGGGCTATCAAAAAAATATATTTTTCCCCGATAAAGCTTGCAGAAAGGTTTCTCTGGAACATGTGGATGATCATGAATTTTTTATTTAGCAAATGATACATGATAGAAGGTGACAGGCAGAGCTGGACTGCTGCACACACTGCGTTAATTGCATGTGTCACTCCACACTTTCAAATAAACTTAAGCACATTAAGAAGAGCATAAGCTCTTATAAAAGATTAAACAAGCCACCAACCAAGTCACTCCTTGCAAGCCTGCTCTGAAGCTTTAGATCAAATGTGTGCCAGTCCCCTATGGGCTGCTGACTCACCGGCAGGAGCGCCGAGGCACTGCCTGCCCACAAGCACATCCCTCTTTGTTCTTCTTGTCCTTCCGAACTGGATCGGCAGTGGGAGCCCTCTGGCTCATTAAGCAGGAGTTGAAACAACTGTAAGACAACTCGGGGGCATCAGGTTTTTCTTTAGTGAGTACCTTTATCAGTAGGTACTCCCAACCCAAATTTACTGCCCTATGGTTTTGCATGTATCGTGTCACTGATCCTGCCCCACAAACAGCCGCATTGGCAAAAATAAAGTCATGTAAAACAAGCAAGGGGCAAGAAAAAGCAGGCAGGGTTAGAAATGGGCATTTTTGTGAAGTCAGCATTACCTCAAAGAAAAACGAAGTCACAATTTTAATGCATTAACAGTGCACACCTTAAAGGTTATATGAAATTTAGTGGATGACAATGGATTAATCTCAGCCTCCAGGAGAAAAAAAAAAAGGAACATGCTCTTACCTTGTCTATAAGGTTACCTCTGGATCTAATGTTTTTAAGAACAGGTTGGACAAGCATGTCAGGAATATTTTTCGCTGTCCTGTCACACTTTGGCCAGTATTTCTGCATTCCTGTGAACGATTCACCAGGTAATTGGTACTACTCAAATAATCCAACAGACTTCACAAGACTGCTGGCCCACGTGGTTTGACATACGCACAGATAATCTGCAACACGCCATGGCACAGTTGTATTGTTGTTAAAGTAATTAATTTGAAGTTGTTTTGTGGAGCATTTCAGTGCTTAGACCTTTAATTCATGTCATAAAATTACAGTAAATGTGTTGATGAAAAACAGCACATCCCAGCAATTTTTTCTGCAAACAGAAATTTATGCAGAAATCCAGAGTCAGACCATGAGATAAAGTATCAGTTGAGACAATATAATAGAGCTAGGGCACTTTTTCCTGGATCGGACTATCTTACATTTGTAAAAAACTTACAGTATGCAATACATATTTTTTGCTTCAAGAAATTGTAAATTTCTTTTTCAAATTGCAATTTTTCTTTTTATTCCATCCCAGATACCATGGCAGACATGGTAAATAAATCACATTAGACAGTAATAGATGTGGTTGAGATATGCGGCAGTGTTTTGCTTTTATTTCAGGAATTACAATGCTAGAACATCCAGGAAAACAGCTCACACAAGAACAGTCAGTGGTTTGGAGATGCTGGAACTAACACATCACATTTAACGGTCAGCTTCCTATGCCTTGAAAGAATTCTGGTGTTTTGGACACATCTGGAACATGACAAAAAAGTTACCTACATCTCATGTGCAAAACTCAAGTTACACCACAAGAACAATTATGAAATAAAAAAGAATTGTACATTCAGCAGAAGAGACATGATAAGCACCAAAATAAGCCAGGCAGGTAATTAAAATCAAAGTAAACATGAATTCCGTTTAAAGATGCTTTCCAATCATTCAAATTTTTGAGGACTTCGTAAAGAGAAGTATTTTCTGAAAATCTATACTAAAATGAAGGTGGTAATTCCAATGTTAAATTAATGTAACACTAAATTGTAAACCATAGAAAAATATTCCTTCTGTTGACTTATTTTAGTAACTTGTAAATAAGTATTCTCTGAACAAATGGCAATGAAAAATTTCTTGTATTTCTTGTTCAGTGTTGTTTGAAAAATAATTGGAGTACATTCTAAAAATGGATTGTTACTGTATTTGATAGCTTCTATCATTGATTTATAAATTAAACTATTTCATTCTGAGATGGAGACAATTCTCTTTCATAACCCTTCAAAACTACTGTTTTAAGATTGATTGGGGAAAAAAAAAGACAACATCTATTAAAGGCTAAGATTTGTCAATAATGCTCTTGTTGTCACAGAAATACCACAGGTTTTTTCCTATTTAATATTATTTTTAAATTCTCATTTTTTCAGCTGAGACTGTTTTGTTGTTGTTATAATCCAGAAACATAACACCATCTCTATAATGAACACTACACCTCAGGGGGGCCAAGGGGAGGAAGCTGACAACTTTTTTAATAGGAAAAAAAACAACCCTGAGGCATGAAGATTCTATTCTGTTGGTCACAACATTCAAAAGCATTAAGTAAACCAATAAGATACTGGTACATTGTTTCACAGTTTCTGAATTTTGAGCTAAATAGAGATTCATGAGGTACACACAAGCAGACATTGGGACTTATGTACACAAATGCTTGGAAAACAAGCCACAGAAAAGGAGGGTTGATCTCATGCAAATAACTCCATGGAATTCCACAGATCTTTCCAAAGCTTGCACCAGCTGGGCTATTGGATTGTCTCACTGCTATTAAAGCCTTCTAACACATAGATCAAGAATCTCAATGAAGTCATACCGAATAAAAAGAATTTTCTTGGCTTCCCCCCTGCCACAACAGTTTATTGGGAATAAAAGGCTACATAATCAGTCAACACAACCTCCTGCCTTTGCCCTTCTTTGTCTCAGTTGTGTCCTAAAAAAATCAAGATATAAGTTCATGTTAAATTTATCACACCACAATATTTTGCTTTCAGGTGTTCTCCCTTCTCCTTACCCCTTCCCCACTTTCAAAAGGCATCTCCAAGCTCCCAATACTCCAATAAAGATATTTAACCCACGTTAGTCACCCTAAACACCAAAACATCTTCATCTCCACGTACCGTATAAGGAGAGTTATGTTGATGCTTCCAGTTTCCTGTCTTTTCTAATTCTTTAGGGGATTCACATTAGAAAATATCTAGTCATTATTATGTGGTTGTATTTCTAACTAAAAGGGACAAATTTATAGTAGAAAAATGCCATTTTGAGCCTGCTGGGGAAAAACCAACCAACCAAGAAAACCCAGACCTCAAAAGGAATGGAATTTAGGTCTGAATCCTGCAAACATACTCCACCCAAAACCAGTTCAAAAGTATTATTGAGAATTTATGAAAAAACTTGTGAAATGAAACAAAATAAAACTTCATAAAAACAAACAAATCCTCCACTTTTTTACAAAGAGTTCCTTGTCCAAAGAAGCAGACATGTAAATAACCACTTTTTAGGAACAATTTCCCTTCTCTCTTCATCTAGTCTTTTTTTTTTGCAGAACCCTGGAGAATGTGTTGTCTCACCACTCCAAAATAGAGAAGTTGATTTTATTTTTTTTAAGTTAAGATTCCTCTCCATCCAATGAGGAAAGAAAATTTTAAATACATGATAAATAAACTTGCAGATTTTTTTTTAATCTATTAAAGCCTATTCCTGTATTTTCTTCATAAAATTTACTCAGCTTGTGTCCATGGTATTCTTGCCCAAATTTCAAGTTGCTCTATGCAGATATTAAATCCAGACTGTCACCCCATATGCCCAGTCTTAATACAGCCCCCTTTGCCTCAGAACAGCAAACCTTAAAAAACTAATCCCCTTAATCAGGGAAAGGATGACTTCTGCAACCAGGTAGGTATTTATAAAACACTTATACTACTTCCCCATTTTTGCATTCCCATCTTTTTAGAGTCCTTCTATTACTGTGGTACAAAATTAAGAGGGTCAGGTCAGACCATGCCAGCTCATTGTCTCACGCATAATGGTTCCAGCCAACACCCTCACTTCAGACATTTCTCTTTCTGTCAAGCCTCCCAGCCCTTCACTATTACATCAGACCATCTTCCAGTAATTCATTCAAACTCTCGCTCCCTCTGCCAATTTCTCTTTGTACTTTCCACAACAGTCATTTTGGTGTCCTGTGTGCTGCTGTAGACTGCAGGAAAAATGCACTAACAACACAGGAAAAGAGTCTCTCATTCCTTGTTTCTGTGGCAATTTCAGATAGACACCAGCTGAGCCCCAGTAGGATTCTGTAACACACTGGTTTTTCAACTTTTTTTGAATTCTAATCCATCAAAACATTTGTCTTTAGAGACCAAATACTGTGAATTAAAACCTGATGATGGGCTTGACAACCAAATGTATGTCGTGAGTTTCTCAGAAGCAGCTTAAATTTCTTCCACTGGGTCTGTGGATCACAAGCAGAGACCTATTTGAGGTGGGGGGCTACTCAGTTGCTCTGTGTGCACAATAAATGTGTGGTCTGGTTGGTGCCCCAGAGATTTGAAAGGAAAAAAAAAAAAGCATGTTCAGTGGAGACAAATCTTCAGAATACAGAAAAAAATATGTAACTAAAGTCATGTCTCCAACTCCAAGAGCATTCCATTATATTTTAAGTCCCTAACTCAAATTTTGAAAACAGAAAAGGCTCTTAATGAAATCTGCTCTTTAAATTGACTCTCACACAGAGATTAATAGTTTTACTGGAAACTTTACCAAATAAAAAGTCTGGCATATGTGAGTCCAGAAGAATGGAAGTTTGACTAGCTTTCAGGCAGCTTTTATCAGTTTTACTAATGAACATCAAGTAATCATAACAAACTTCAATGCCAGCTCCACATTTGTGTTCAGCAATCATTAAAGGCAGGTTTTAATGTTTCTGTTTTAAAAGGTTATAAGAAAAAAATATTTACATAATTAAATTTGCTACTTCAAATTACCTTGCCTTTTCCTCAGTGGCAGTGATCGCTGTCAACTCCACAACATTGCATATTACAACATAATAAGCAGAGAGGAGGTTAGTAAAAAGAGCCCATGCTTTGTTTTTTAACCCATTATAAAATTATAACATCCTAAATAGAGTTAAAAACAATTTCATTTACAGAAAAAAATAAAAAGGTGTCCCCACAGATATAAAGAAATCCTTTCAGTAAAGACAACAAACTTTTCAAAACATAGTTACAAAATTTTGGCATAGGTCTATTTGCATGGTTCATGCCAAGAAATTGTATTAAGAGGATGTGTAAGATGGATAGAAAAAAGAAGAATGGGGCACTACAGTTTGTTACAGGATTAAGCTAAATGTTCAGAATTCTCTTTATACAGAAATACAGAAAGGTATTCTAGAGAGCCAGATAGTAAAGAGCAATTCCTAATAGCTGGCCACAGTGCACTGAATTCCTTTTTTTTTTTCTTAGCAGTTGCTTGAGAGATACATTAGGTAATAGCACTGCCATGCTGCTGGATAGTACCAGAATTATTAAATTCATCAGTACAGCAATTTTAAAGTTAAGAAAACTGCTAATAGAGATCCTAATTAACAAGAAGAGTTTTACCAGGACCATACAAAGTCAAGTTACACTGATGCCATAGATATTATCTCTGTGCTTTAAAATCCTTTTAGTATTCCTAGATTCATTCCACTGAGAAAAAAATAATCAAGATAAATCAAATTCATACAGAAACACACTCACTCAAATGGCACTCATTGCTTTTTGTACAATTAAGCTTTAGTGAAAATATACATCTTAAAACAAATGAAGTACAAATGTACAAAAATCCTTGAACTCAGATAAAAAATATATATAATACAATTTGCTACAGAGATATAAAACATTTAACGTTTGCTCATCCTTTCTGATGAGAGTAAAATGATTTAAAGTCTGGAGGACTCCTGCTCATCATCGCTGCAATCAGATTTAAAACAGACCTGCAAGAGAAGACAAACAGACAACTCAGCTGCAGAACCGACACAATTGTTTATTTGTGTGTTTTATGGGCAACAGAAAGGCTGTAAGGGTGGCTCTTTCTCCAGCACGTTTTATTCCATACTAACTAAATGCTTTAAGAAAAATCAAAGGAAGCCACAATCCAACCCCAAATCTCAAGTCATTAAAGTTTCATTTAACCTTAAGTTCTTTCCTCCTTTTAACTTCACAAGACAACTAACTGCAGTCTTACTACTTCAAAACCAACTGAAAACTCTCAAACCATATTCATTTTTTTTAGGACTCTCTCAATACATAGAAATATATCTTGGGACAGTATGAATCTTGCTGATTTGGCTGGAAAAGACTACAGTAAGACACAAGCTTTATCTTTAGCTGAGATTATTAGTACACTCAACAATCCCTCCTATTCCACCTACGTGGGAGAAAAGTGAATTTGAAAAGGTAAACTAAAAATGATGGTACTATTATACATTCCATTAGCATTGTATCATTTTAGGAAGGTGAATTGCCAGCTGAAGACAAAAAATTTCTTCATACAATTTTAATACACGGCCCTGCTGTGGCTACTTAATGATACACTCTGAGCTATTTTAAAATTCCATTTCTGCTTGAAAGCAAAAGTAATTTCTGCCAAAGTGTTTGCTACTGGAATATATTCATACTTCTCAAGGTAATTCCACTCTAAGTGCAGGCATACTGAGCAAGCAGAATTGGGTATAACATCTTCAACTGCAAACCTTTTCAAATAGCCTATTTCTTACATCCTATAGGCAAACACAATGTATCATGTCTTTTAGGTGGTAAATACTCACTTCTCTGAACGTTTACTAAAGAGTGTCAGGTGTGTAAGAAAAGGCCGTGCATTATCAGGTATGTCAAGATATGTTGTTGTTTTGTGAAGACATGCTGTTGTTTTGTTTAAAGGCATTAAATTACCTAAGATATTTTAACGTTTGTTTCATGGTGCTTCTTCCCACTCATTAATTTGGGGGATATTTCTACTTATTTACTTTTTTATTGGATATATAGTTATTTTTGCTAAGTTACTTATATATGGTATTACAGAGGGCCTCAGTCACCTCTGAAGACACCTCCCCAGAAGTTTTAATTAAAAACTGGCAAAATATACAAGGAGCAAGACTCAAATTAACCTCTTTAGTAAAGAAAGATCTGTAGCACAGCTTCTAACAGCACCCACTACCTTTATCCCAGGCAACTAGAGGAAGACAGAATGCTGATGGAGGAAAACCTCCTGGAGTTAGAGGGATTGCCACAGTTTCTGAAACGCAGTGGAGGGGAAGCCATAACAAACCAGATTTCATTAGTTTCAGTATTCAGCAAACAACTTGTTTTTCCCATCACAAAATAATATAAACAACCTGAATGGAAGTTAAGGTCTTACTGTTAATTTTCTTATGAAAGAAAAGAAATAACCTTACCTCTCCACTAAAGAGTCTGTGAAAGAAGCCTCTCTTTGGTTTAGGAGACCTCTCTCTGTCTGGTGACACAGTACCATCAGTTTCATATGCATTGATATCTTCAAAGCATCCCGTTTCGATCATCTTTGAAACACATGAAATATAAACGAAATGTCCACACAAGCCTTTCAAACAAGTTCCATGTATTATCTATTTACTCTGGCTGGGTACTCCTTACACTTTTAAATTCATCAGCCAAACTACAGCACTCACAGAGCTCCACAAAGGAGGCACGAAGCCAACACGGGCTCCCCCTGTGCACTCAACAAACTAAAGAGTAGCAATGAGAGACTATCACACAGGGAAGTACTCAGGTGCTCTCTTGTTTTGGTTGCATTCTTGCCTTTCTTCTGCCTATGATGCAATAAGTGGAAGTTTTTAGAACCAGAAACTGATTTTCCTTTCATGCGTTCTGCTCGTGTCAGAGCAATCTAGTCTAACACATGTAATATCTCTATACCCTGAACTGAACTTAATTAATAAACATGACACGGGGAAAAAAATAGGTATAATGAAGATGGGTCTCTGGAGAGAAGACAGGGATTTTGAAATAATCTTTGTCTGTATACACAGAAAATAAAACAAATAAACCCACAATCACTGGATGCAGAAAGGACAGCAGGTGAAGGCCAAAATGTAACCAACAGGTAGGGTCAGAAGGGGGGGAGTGGCTAATGCCCACATCTAGTTGGCATTTGTCTGTGATTGCCACTGGTGCACATCTGTCACAACAGCATGGAGCCAGATGAATACACCTTGTAGAGGGAGAGAGGGCATAAAGAGGAATAAGAAGAAACGCATTCTGCTTTTAGTATAAACCATGACATTAGTACAGTCATGGCAGGGCAAATGGAATTCTTAAAAGATCAAGTGCAAAGATTTGGGGGAAGGTTCAGTAACATGAATTAAAAAAAAAGCACGAATGTACAATGAAGTCTGCATAGTTATTCCTTGAAGAGAAGGAATTGCCATCACCAGAATTCCACAACTATTTCCAACTTTACCCCTCTATGCTGGGTTATTAAGCTGCAGTGCATTTTTTCATGACTAGATCATATTCTGAAGTTCAGAATTACAACATAGCATAGGAAATATCTATTTCTCCAAGGTTCATTTCTTCTTAGTGAAGACTTTCTATGTCAAATGACACCTTTTCAAATCTCCTTCTTAATGTAATGCAAAAAAGCAAAAGGAAAACAAAAGGGAATGTACTTTTTTCTTCAAATTGTTTGAGAAATTGCTCATCTTTTGTGTTGAAGCTTTAAATAAAATCAATCATACTGAGAAAGAAAATACACCTCTAGAATTCAAGACAATACTAATTTCAACTAACACCTTATAATAGGGGGAAAGCAGTCATAACAACAACTGTGATTTTAAAGATTTGTTACTGAGTGCTCTTGCTGAAATGGTAAAGAGGATTTGAACTGCATGAAGAGGTAGTAAAATTCTAGTATTCTATGCAGAATACGTGAATAGTCATTCACTAGGCACATGAAAAAGCTCTAAGAGAAAAGTCTGATTCAACTGATTGAATTGTTTGTTTTGAAACCTTGGAAAAGGTGAGTCTGCAATTCTGTATTACTGTGTCACTTGAATCCTCTATTGATACACAGGCACTATATACAAAAAACTTGCACTGTGCCTATTTGCTTCTGAACACCTGGAATAGCATTCCATCTCTCTCCTGTGAACAGCAATACTGAATAACATGTGAGAGAAGAACAAGGAAAAGGTGGTCCTGCTGATGTTAAACACTGTTCTGAACACTGTATCTATGATGACATGAAGTCAGACTCTATTTACAAAAATTTACCATAGATCTCAGTTTTTAGCAAGCTGCTTATGTTTTGGGAACAACTTTCTTTCTGAAGTCTTTAAGCAAGGAAGTCTAAAGCAGAAACTTCTTTACATCTTAGAGAGAAAATCCATACTAATTATATCCTTTATTAAATCCTCTATATTGCTCTACTAAGGAAAATAATCTTTTAAGAAATATACATTACCTCATTTTGCCAAGGGATGGAGACACAACCCGTAACAAACTTGGAATAGAAGTCATCATCTGTAGTATCCAGGTTCACTCCTTTTACTGTTGAGAACTGCTCTATGTCCAGGACATCTTTACAATATACAGCACGTGGCTGCAGTACAAGACAAGATTGATTCATTAAAGTTTTGGGGTTGGGTATTTTTTGGTTGGTTTTTGTTTCTCTATATGAGCAAAAAGGGAGCAAAATACCTACAATTTTATATTTTACATTGCTGATCACCAAATTTCACTGTGCTACAAAACAGGAATATGAAAACTTAAAAGAATCTCATGACAAGGCACCTGAACAATTTCATCCATCCTACAAGTAACAGCAAAGAAGTATCAAAACCTTCTTTGGATTTCTTAATGGTTGTCATAGTTCACTCATCTTCTGCCACCCTCCTTTCAACTCCAGAGTATTTTCTTCAAACATATTTCTCATTTGTTCTGCATCTGAGCTATGGAAGTGGACTTTTAAGGGCTAAGAAATCAGCTACAATCAGCATTTCTCCCTAGAGAAATGCCACTATTGTAAATAATTTTGTGATCTCAGATGAAACGATACAAAAAAATTAGCTCTCAATAGCCACAATGGCATTCTCCTGCCAATTTAACTAACTTTAAAGGTTTCTCTGGGATCATACGATTGCTGACATAGAATTATGACAGTTCTTGCCTTTTTAGATACTAATCAAATCTGTCTCACCTACTTACATCTGGCAAGAATGGAGGTTCTAACATGTTTGCTTCCAGCCTCTTGAAGTTAATGTTCCTGAAAATAGGATGCTGCTTTACAACAGCAGCTCCATCTTCAGTGCAACCCAGTCGCTCCCCTGGATTTTTAGCAAGTAACTGCAAAGACATGGGGAAAAAAGCTGTTACATGATATAATCCCACAATTAAAAGAAAAATTCTACATGCAATGTCTTTCAATAAGTTTATTTTGCTACTTGGCCTTTTATTAGATAAAATTTATCAAGTATCAAAACAAACTGGAAATTCAAATGACAACATTCTGGGAACAAATATATTTTCAGTAGACAAAAGAATCCCTGAAAGCAGACCATTTGAAGATTATACCCAAAGTTATATGAGAATACTTTAATTGATGCCATGCTGAATAGATTTTCCAGTACAGATGCTGCAGTAGACTTTTCTTTCAGGAAATACAGACTTACTTTTTTCCAATAGGCTTAAGTAATGCACATATTTTGCATGAACTAGTACAGAAAGCTTTCTGTATAAATTTAAGACCAGGCAAGACAAAAAAAAGCTCTTGTTTTGTAGATACTCTTTTAGGTGAGCAAACTAGTGTACTCCTCTCCCACTTCTTCCCATGCAGTATCCACGCCGAGCTGTTGTACTCCATCTATATAATTACATGTGGTCCTAACAGTACTGGACCATTTCAATTATGTGATGCAAAATCAATTTATGCAGCTTTCCCTTCTGAATGAAGACATTAAAACCCTGTAGTTGATCTCTTTAAAAGGATTAGAAATTTAATTTTCAAACCTCTACGTCTCTTCACCCACCATCCTGCAGATGGATTTTGCCTCCTCTGAGAACTTGTCTGAATATGTTTCCTGGTCTTCCTTTACTCTCCGGTCAATCTCATCCCGTTTGACCCTTTCCTTATGCTTCCTGAATGGAGACTGTCCTTCAATCATTTCATAAATCAAGCAGCCAAGACCCCACCAATCCGGACTGAATGTATACTTTTCATTTTTGAGCACTTCTGGAGCTACAAAACAAAAACAAACACACATCCATGACATTTCACTTTAAATTGACTAATAAAATATTGGAAAAACTCTCAGTTACCCTTCTGGCTCTGTGCAGAGATGTTTGTGTAGCTTCTCTGCACTTTGAAGAAATGTTAATTTCTACAGTAAGAACTCTGTTTGTATCCAAGAGAAGAACTGAAGTTCTTTAATGCTTAAGTCCAGTATTGTTTACAAACTAAGAATGAAGTTTTTCCAAAGCTTGGAAAAAAATGTATTGTCACAGTAATCCATCTGCTTACCTGTGATGCTAAATTTCTTTGAATTTCAGAAAAAAATTAGGTGCTTTCTTGAAGTTCTACCTAAAGTTAGAATTTTCAGTTAAGTTTTCAAGTTTATCAGTAGGCTTATAATTGACTACTAACATCTACTGCTTTCTTCTTCTCATAACATGTCTAGTAAGTAATCCAGGCCAAATACAGTTCTAAGTCATTCTTATATTGACGGGAGCAAATTTTTTGGTAAAATGTAACAAGCAAAGGATACTTTACATACCCATGTAACCCACGGTCCCAACTCGACCTCTGACCGTTTCTCCTTCTGGAATCTGCACAGCTAATCCAAGATCCGAAATTCTGATATGCCCTATTTATGTTAAAATAAATTATAAATAGTTAGCAAATAATACAGGGTCATCACTGAAAAAATTTCTGTACAACACTTGATTAAAAAAAACACCCCAAAATATCAAAAACATTCATATACTCATATAACTAAGTTTATTTAACTTAAGTAGAAAGGAGTGATTTTTTATTATTATTCAGCTCCTCCTTAAATATGCAAAGAAAAGAGGCACAGATCTAACCGATTTCCTGAAGATCACACACAAAAAATTTGCTGTTGAGCACTCTAATTCCTAGCTTTGGCATAGGCTGCTGCTCTAGGACAAACAGAAATGATGATTGCTAGTTTCAGATTCTGTATCTGTGCATCAGACACTTGTATTTTTCCATTCTGTACTCCCACCACAAAAACTTAGCTGACTTCCTAATAAAACTTCAAAATTTACCTAACTTACTCCAAATGTGAGAAGACTGTAGCCTGTACTGAGACACCCAGTTTTCCTCTCACAGAGTACTCTAATAATGCCAAGCATGAGTACTTGGAATTGCTATTCCCACTCCCACCCCAAAACAAAAGCAGCTGAATCAATAACCTACTTAGAATTATTTATATGTACATGTCAGTTCAATAGTAGGATTTCCCCTTCTCATGAATCACTCCTAAGTAGATAACAGTTTCTACCTCACTTTATCAGCCAAACTTCTCAAGCTGATTACTGTCTCTATTAGTCACACATTTACACCAGTATCTACGACATAGAAGTCACATGGTAGAAGACTGATTTCTCATGACCAGCACTGCTCAGATGGGGAACTGGTCCAAGAAGGGCAATGGGAATTAATTCACCCCACCCTCCCTCAAATTCCCATGGACAGATACTGTTCTTTCTTGGACAGACTCAGTAACTGTTTCAACCACATTCAAGACATTTCAAGGTAAGAATGGTATTGACATTTTACTGTAAAAATGCATAAGGTACTTCCTTAATAAAAATATACAAGTTTAGACAGAAGAAAGGACAATTATATTTTCAATTTTAAAGGAAAAAATTGCCAATCATCTAGAGCAGAAAGATCCATTGAGGAAAAAGAAAAAAAACCCCATACATTTATACTACTGGTTATAACGGACAGGGATACTGCCATTTACAGAAACACCCAAATTTATAGAATGATTCAGGCTGGAAGGGACTTCAGAAGGTCTTTAGTACAACATTCTGAGCAAGCAGCCAGCCCAAACCATGCAAGGCTTTTTAAATTCTTGTTTAGAGTGGACACTGCGTCACCTTTCTGGGCAGCCTATTCCAATGCCCAAGTGTCTTTGTGCATACATGCTCTGGAATTCAAAAATCTCTATAGCATCAATATTAGTTAACAGCATATTAATTTCTGATTTACACATGACAGATAATCAAGGGATGGAGAGAGAGAGAATAGAGAAAGTCAAGTGCCACTCTGTATACTGGTTGGAAATAACGCTCCGGAGCACCAAATGCTATTTTAAATACATTCAGATGCTCTTCTGTTCTCTGACATCTGATGAACCCCTTCTCAAGTGCACGATCTGAGCTCCTGAAGCGATTTTCTAATTAGTCTCCTCTGCTCCCTGGAACTGGATCAAAATATTCCTGGCAGAGAGAGAGCATTCTAATGCAGTCCTGCAAGGCTACATTTTTCCTCAAAGAAGCCGTCAGCTTTTGCAAGACACTACTGGAGAGAAAAATTAAAGAATGCATTTGATGTCTAGCAAAGCTTTAGCTCTTGGAAAGTGACTTCTCCCAAGCATCATCTTTCTTGAAATTTATCAGTCAGAACATGCTGACTTTAAAAAAAATATACTGTGTTAATGACTTCAAAAACAGTTTTTCCTTAACTAAAATGCTCAGCAGTTACAAGAACAAACTTGTAATATTCACCCACAGCTTAGGAGAGAATTGCTGCACATGTTCTACAGTCAATTCAAAAGATTCTGGTAATGGCTTGCATACAAAGTCATTAAAGAAGATTAATTTGGCTTCTGAAAAACAAAAGACTACAAACATTTCTTCATATTGTTTGTACTTCCTTGATTCTTTCCAGCCACATAAGCACTAGTGACCATGAGACCTCTTTTAGTTGAAATCTTACAACAGAAATGCTTCAGATTTCTTCTTATTGACTAAACATTCTGGTTTACTAAGTAAAGTTCTGGCCCCACATCTAACAAATTGTGTTTCCATAGTTGAAGAAAAGACAAACAAAACAAATCCATATAAAAGTTTCAGCCATCTTAAATCAAGAGAAGGAAGGAGAAAGAGGAGCAAAAGGGAAAAGGAACCATTTTATAACCCTTCAAACATCATCATCGTTGATCTCCAAAGTCCCAGTTTAGTCCCCTGCCTTCTAAAAAGCAAAAGCACTTTTTTCATTGCTAATTAAAGTTAAGATTTGACAATTAGGTTCCTTTTATCATGAGGAAATCCCTTGATTTCTGGCACAGTATTAATTAGAGGTGTAAATCTTTACTTCAAAATTAATTTTAATTTTTACGTACCACAGTCATCAAGAAGTATATTCTCAGGCTTCAAGTCTCTACAAATCAAACAACAGAAATGTGAATTAAACAAAGGCAAAATTATTCATCATCAAGTACCACGAAGGCAACATAAGATTTCTTGGTTCTGATTGAAGCAACTTTTCCACTCACATACAAAAAAGAGTTGTGAAGTTGATGGCCTGTAATACAAATAGTTTAACCAGAGAACTCCAGATCCACTTTCCCCCAACTCTCTAATTCATTTACATTAACAAAAGCAATTTGTACTCCACGGATGAGAAACTTTCTCCACACAACTCTGAATCCTGATATGAAGGAACCACCAACTTACACCCAAATTTGTGCTCACAGGTGAAAGATATTTCTCCTTAGAATATCATCAATACAACTCCCAAATTATAAAACACAAGTGTGTTTGCTGCAGTTTGATGCTGACTACTTGCTATATTCCACCCCAGGGTGTCAGAATATCAACAAAAACTCATATTCTCAAGACTAAGCATATCCATTCAAACTCCACTCCTTTAATTTGGATATGCAACTTCTAAAGCCTACTAGACACTTCATCTAGCGAGGATTCTTTAATCAGATTTCTAGTAGTCTCTATCACTTTTCTGTAAACATCAAGTTTCACAAGCAACATTTTTTTAGCTATTAAATGCTAGCAAAACTCAGGAAATAGTAAAAGAGCAATTAACTCAGTATTGGAGCTCTGCATCTTCTTGGGCATTTGTACTTTCAGAACAAAAGAAGAAACTTCATAAGATGTTTGGATTCCCCCACACACAAGGAAAATTTGGGGAATCATTGAAGCTGTTCAGAGATTACTTCTAGGATTTATCTTCTAGCAGATTCTATTGAGAACTTACATACATACATACATATATAGGCATGAAATATATGCATAAAATATATATTGCACATTATTATAATAATGTAGATAATCAGTCATAATGTATACTGTTAAATATACATATTTGTGCATCAGAAAGTGTATATGACTGCAATACAGTCTCTTAGATTTATTCCACCATAAATATCATAAAGCCAGAAATAGACAAGTAAAAATCAGTACTTGGCTAAAAAGTCAGTTATTATTGGAATAGATTATTAAAAACAATATGTATGTATATGGGTATACATATGACTGTGACAAGAACAGTTAATCTATACAAGCAGAAAAGACTGAATAATGTATAAGAAGCAATTTTAGCAATAATGATTCTAGAATTGACATTGTAAATGAGAGCAAAATGCACACACACACAACTTGTTCACCAAGAAATCTATATAGTTTTTTCCCTTTTGTTCTGAAGTATGTGTATTCATGTTAAAGTTTCATTATCTTATTAGATTAACCGTACAAAGAAGTCAGAAAGATACTCTGTTTCTAATGCTTTTAAGTCTGGACAAACCCCATAATGTTAATAATTTGACATTAGATATGATATTAAAATATGAGAGAAATCGGGATAGATCAGAGTTTAAAAAACCCAAAAAATTAAAAACTCCACATCAGTATCAAAAAAGCAGAAGAAAATTCAGCTCAAACTTTAGGTAGAAACACATCTACTTTAAAGCACAAAATATATGCTCAATTTAACTCAAGTAAACAAGTTTAAAGATTTCCATCTCCAAAATGGCTGATTGAAGCCCAGCCTGAAACCTAATACTTAAAAGCAACATCTTCTGCTTAATAGAAGTTATTCTGGTCTGACATGATTTTGGTTAGTCCATAGTAAAACTCATTTCCAGCCAAAATTCCATCTCTTTAATGCTATTAGTTTCTTGACCTAGCAGCACGAAGAAGTCAGCTTTTGGAAGCATTCAGCTACAAGTCCTAATCCTGGGATTCCAGATTTGGGGTATCAGCTTTCTCCCTCTTCCCTTCCTACACCACAATAGAGGCTGAAATCTCACTTTCTGTTGGAATACACAGACACCCTACACTGGATGACCAAGCTCAGAGTGAGAGGTGGCAATGTAATTCTATCAACAGAGGCAGCAGCTTTCCCTTATGAATCAGAGAAAGGCTGGAGGACTGCAAAGCTCACAAAACTAAGAGGTTTATTAAAAAAGTTGAATAAAATTCTGTATTTTAATTTGGACTAGACAAGCACTAGTCTATTTATGCCATAGCTAACACCAGCCTTCCTACAGAGAAAACTTCTAGAGAGAAACCCTTCCTGGATTTCACTGCACAGATGTCTGCTCTGAGCAGAGGCACGAGGCAGGCAAGGAGCTGCTTGGGTTTATCCACTACAACTTCAACAGGCCTTTGAGCCTGATCTTTACCTTCCAGGCAAATTCCGTGGCACTGTGGGTATGTACACTGGTTTGTGAGGAAAATCTAGGTATTCAAGCAACTTATCTGATAAAACCACTACCATCCTTTAGGAGATGGATAATTGCTGGAGTTTTCCTGCAGGAGTTAAGTCCATTTTGGAAAGCAGGCACTTGTTCCCCACTCTGACTTATGTAAAACTGACTTAGCTCTAAGTATTATCAGACTTTAAACGTAGCAGATGGATGAATAGCTCCACTACTGCCTCTGTCTATTTGCTTATTTTTCTAATGTCAGCACCATATGGCAAGTCACAGATAGTTTCACAAGCTCCCACTGAACAAGCACTGGGCTCAGTTGCTGTCACAGGGCAGGGCAGGGCCCTCCTTCCAGCTCTACATCTGTTCTTTTAATCCAGTGGGAACTCCACTAATAAAATGGCTCAACTGACTCCAGGGTCCTACAGACAGTCCTAACACCACTGCTGGAAATACAATAATAATTGGGAAAAAGACACAAGAAATACACAGAAGAAAACTGGTGTCAATGGAAAATTAGGGTTTGTTTTTCCACTGTATGAGGTATTTTGCCACTGATGGCAAAAAATCCCAAATATAATACATTTATAATACATTTTAACATGACTGACCTACACTAAAACTGCCATTTTAGAACAGAACTGAGCACGTGAACTGATTTTACTACTACCTGCCTACACTTGTCTCCATCAAGGATTTCTGTTTCTAAGTTCTGAATTTCCCTTCTTCCACTGCCTCTACAGGATACTTTACTGGGAATACAGATGGACAGACACAAAAACCCATTCTCAAGAAAATATTTTACCACAGTATGTTACAGAATTAAAGTCCACCTTAACAGGTTAAGCTATTTGTCTAAAAAGAGTTAAAAATCTTTTAAAGCTAGAAAACAAACACAGTAAGAGATCTTGAGATATGGCAACAAGAAAAAGAACTATTTCTAATTTCAGAGGAACAGCAAAATAAGAAAAACTTTCCTTCTGTGTTTTCTTGTCCTGGAGAATGTAAAATACTAGTTACCACAATTTTGAAAAATAAATCATGATATCAATGAATATGTGCTTCATTATGATCTCCCTTTCCACAACAACATTAAGACTGGAGGTTGCCATCATAACTTCTTTAGTGAGAATAAAATAATTATGACAAATTTTCCCAACCTTTTTGTTTTACTAATCATATCTAATCACTGTATTGCTGCTTAAATGTATTTCCATTAAGATGCCTGATAGAGAATTTTGATTGTGTAACACATCACTGTAATTGGTGACATTCTGAAGACTCCCAGGTACTATGATTAAATTTAAGACCTTCTTTTTCCTCTGAGTTTATAAATTCTTTGGTTTCCAACACAGGTAAAGGTAACTGCCTCTCAGTTCTTCATTTTGGTATGAGTAGAAGACTAAAAATAATGCTTCTAATTAAGAGACAGTTTTACTCAGTACTGGTTGTGAAACCACTTTTTTCCATGCTCATAAATTTAAGCTTATGTGATTTCTTAATAATTGGAAACTGATTATATAATAGCACTAAACAGGGCAGAGCTCTAGCCATCAAGACTGCTCCAGAAGAAAACATGACCACTCCAAGATCTGGAATCAACGACAGAAAACATTAGGATTTGACATATGTGTTTGAAGGTCTTCTTGTAGGCAAATAGCTAAAAAGTTGGGCTTAAACAGGAGGGCTGTGGTTTGGGGGTTTTCATTTTGTTTAGGGTTTTTTGTTATTGTTGTTTCGTATTTTAAACAAACAGTTTTGTTTTCACTTGGGCAATGTGAAATGACCTACTTGTAGCTGATCAGATCTTTCATCTGTGCTTCCCTCCTACCTCTATGCCAATGTCACCGTGTGACACTGCAAGATTGGCCAAATTCTCTAGGGAACCACATCTAACCACCAGCAGAAGACTGATTTACTCTGTGGTTCTGCTGCTTTCTGCTCTGTGTGCTTGTGTTGGTCTTCTGTATTGGGGAGAGAAAAGACTAAGACTCACTATATTAAGTTAGACTTTAAATCTCCTTTGAAAGAATTAGTACTAGATATTACAAACTAGGAATATAAAGAAAGCATTCTTGGTCCACTATGAAGTTTGTTTTGCTTGTTCTGTAATATTGATGCATACCAGGGGTTAAATGATGTATGTACAGAAAAGAGCAGTAAGATCATATGATCTCAATTACAATGCAGAAAGCTTCTGATAGTTTAATTAATTCAAAAGGAATAATGTGTTTATTGGAGGAACCTGAAATAAAAACAGAAGAAAAAGTTTTTCATAAGGACTATGACTATCATTTTACCCTCAGATCATAACATGCAATGCAGTCAGGGATTTCTATAGCCTTCTGTGAACTACTTTGGAGTGGGCAGGAATACAATCCCATATTCCTAAAACTTACTTATTTGAATTAAAAATTAGCTTTGTAAATTGTAACTTATTTTCATTTTTCAAACAAACCTTGAATCAATTTTATAATATTTTAAAATGTATCAAGCATCCGGACCTAAATTAACCAGTAAGAACACAAACAAGATCAGTAATTCTGAAGGACATGCCATGAAAAGGACAAGAATTTTTTTTTTGCTTCTTTTACTGTGAATTTGTTCTAGTGGAAAACAATTAATACATTCAGTGCTGAACAGACATGGAAAGGTACCAGTGACTGTAGATAATACTCACCTGTAAACAATTCTCTCCCTCTGCAAATCCTCCAGGCCACAGCACAGTTCTGCAGCATAGAAAATAGCCCTTTCTTCATCAAAGCCAGGATTTCCCATGTTATATATGTGAAACTTCAGATCCCCTCCATTCATTATGGTTAATACTAAACACAGGGCATCTTTCGTTTCGTACGTATAGGATAAACTAACCTAAAAACAGGGCAGGGCAAGAACAGGACCATTAGTTATTCACAGACCCCAAAACAATTCACAGCTCTTTTTTCCAATATAATCAATATGTGAATCCCTTTTTTAAAACAAAAATAACAAAACAGGCAAGTAGAAAAATCACTCCTGCAGAGATCTTGAAGATACAAAGGAATACAGACTAATTTGCCTGTTTAGACAAAGCCTACACCACCAGACAAAAGCTTAGTGACAAATCTGTTTAGACACCATAGAGCTCCATCCAGAAAATAGTTATCGATGATGCCCCTCAGCTGCACATTACCTGTATTACTCTTTGTCCAGATAACATGCCCATTTAATAATTTTATCAGTACCTCAGGAATTTTGCATTGCCAAACCATCTTCCTGAACTTCTATGAGACTCAAAACTGCCCTACATTAAAGAAACTCAAGAAATTATTTAAGATCAAATGTGTAGTTTCTATCTCTAACCCTCCAAGTGACTGGATATGTCCCTGATTGAAAACTTGTCAACAGTAAAGACTCAGTACAGCTCTTTATAGTCTTTCTTCTCCCTGTATTTGGAATGTGGTGCTGATAGGCAAGGAAGAACACCAGGATTTCTTTCAGGTTTTAGGTAAAAGTTTTTTAAGTGGATTTAAACTTTTAAAGCAAACTTGTGAATTCATAAACCCACCCACTTTAACACAATGTAATATATTACAAAATTTAACATATGCTGTTGAAGTTACAAATTCATTTTCAATAGAAAAGGCTCAGCTCTGCTGATGATTATCTGGCAGGATCTTCAAAATTACCTACAAAGATAACCTAACTCATACTAAGAGCAGTGGAATTCAAACATATACTTAGCTTTCATTAGGTAAGCTAGCTGGGTTAAAATCAGTAGGATTCTTTTTTTTACTCAATAAATATATTTTTAAATGCAATACAAGTAAATAATGGCCCTAATTCAGTAATAGGTCCAAACTCTTCCTTTGGAAGCATAAATCAAATACTAATTAAGAAAATGAAATAAATACAGAAATCAGCTACTTGGGGCAAGGATTCCTATTTGGAGGTTTTCATTGATATGTCCAGCTATTAATGACTTTACTAGTGACACAGGCATGACAAATTATCTACCCATTCCCAACCCAGTACTACTGCAGATCCGAGATCCAGATCTTTCCTGTTGCACAAAAAACCCCCGTTGAATAGCAAGTGGAAAATAACTCGTGCTCAATTCTATAAAGTGATTTCAATTTTGACTTTGATCATTTATTGATTTACAGTATTTACATACGCTGAAAAAAATGTCATTCAAAAATAGAAGTTTCACTGTTATAGTAATTTATGGATCAATTCAGGTATTTTCTGGATTCAGTTTCAATCAATTCAAGCCCAGAAGCCTTGTGCAAAAATAACATTAGCATATTTATAAAGAAGTATAATTTGCAATAGTTTAAAATATTAATGTATCTGGCCAGCAGGTTCTTAATTTTTCTTTTAGCTGGCAGTATTGTATGGGATTTTTTTTAATACATAAAGCTTATCAGAAAATACATACATACATATTTTATACATATATATTTATAAATAACTTTCACTATCCTCTGAAACAGGTACTTCAAAATCCTCTCTGAACAGCAATACAAAATTTATCAGTAAATGGATTTAAAACCAAAGCAGAATGCATTTTAAATTAACATTTAGATGACAACGTTTTGATTAAAAAGTAAACATTACCTGGGGTAAATTTTACTTGGTCTATCTTTGCTCATTCTAAGTTATTTCACTGCTTAGTAATTAGAGCTACTAAGAGACCATAATATACATAATAGCATCAGGTTAAAGTATTAAAACTAAGATTTTCATTCCATGGAAGTTTTATTAAAAAGTTAATTGTTTCACATCCAAGACACCTCTTTAAGCCTTAGCACACAGCAAAGCAATATAACCTCAATCAATATACAATTAAAATGTCATGTTTATCTTGGAATATATAAGCAATAGAGTAACAATTGCTACAAAAATACCCAAGGATATAAAAACTCAACTATTAAACAGAGGACAAAGTTTCAGTGGCATCAGCATGCTGAAATACACTTAATGTTCTGGCTGTGAGGAAAAAAGCAGGCAGACTAAAACCAATTCAATATTGGATAAAAAAAGTCCTCTGAACAGAACTACCCACAATAACACACAAAACACACTTATTATTGTATCAAGATTTTTCTCAACAGTAATGCAATCTCTAAATCAATTAAAAAATTAGTCTTGTGCCCACAAGCTCCTGGAAGAAACTGAACGAAGTAAATAAAGACACGTTTCTGAAAATAAGATCAGAAGTAGATACTTACTACAAACCTACTATTCACTTTTTCTAGAATTCTTTTTTCATTTAGAGCCATTGATTCTCCTTTCCTCTTCTTTATTCTCTTTTTTTCTAGCTTTTTACAAGCATACATTTTTCCTGTTGCCCGTACTTGACAGGCACACACCTGAAAAAGAAGGATGGTGTGTCAGAGATGCTAGGGATTTATTTAGAGTTTTTATTTTAAAGAATTTTTAAATAATTTCATTTTCTTTTCAAACTCTTTCATGCTCTCAGAAAATGATGGTCTATAAGCATCAATACAGAGCCTTCACTCATGAAACAACTTTAAAGGGTCACAAACGTTGTAATAGAATAGAAAAAGTGATTATACAGAGGCAAACCCATTTCTGTTGGGGTTGAATAATTCAGTAAAACTCTGGATCTTGTGTTAGTGAAACAACTGACTGTGATACCAGTGTGTGTCTAGACAAGCAGGTCAGAGGACAAATATCCACATCATAATCAAACAGCTGAAAGATTATGGTAATTTAGTAACCCTACTTCACCTTCAATATAGGGTTCTGGTTAAAATACATAGGGGAGGAAAAAGTTCCATTAATTATAAATAGAATTAATAAAACCTATAGATTTTATTTTAGGCTCATAAATATTCTATATAATTATTAAATACAAACTAAATTTTCACTGCCAAATGAAATTTCTAAATAGAAGCAACTGTTGTCAGTCAGTCGAAGTTTTCTGAAACTAACACATTAAAAGAAAACAGTTTGGATTGACAACAGTTTGCCAGGTGATGTGTCAAATGTAGATTGATGGAGACAAGACTTAAAACAGTCTCTCTTCTGTATTAACTTTTCTTTTTTTCTTAAGAACTGCCTCACAGAAAGATACTTCTATACTCACCTCTCCAAATCCACCTTTGCCTAGGACTCGGTAATGCCTAAATGTGTGTTTGGTTACTGGTTGCCTGATTAACAGAAAGAAACAATTACTGCAACAGAAATTACAAACGTCAGTTATCCCCTCCCCACCCCAAGGTCTCTCTTGATTTTCTCCCTTCTGTTCTATGACATATTTCTGAACAAATGTTGCCTTTGCCTTATGAAGACAGCACTGTAATAAGCGGAATTTCAAACGAAAGGGGTGCTCCGTTTAGAAACGTGGGCTCCCTCATGTGGTCACCAGACATTCTCAAGAGCAGGAAGAAGAGCTGGTCAGCTTGGCCCTTTGTGTTTACAGTTAGAGCCTTATGTGTTCTCATCACAGACAATTTCTCATGTCCTGCTGCTCCCTGAGCTGCAGTAGGCTGACATGCATTGCAATCACATCACGCTTACAATGCAGCATTTAAAAGGTAAGCCATTTCTCATTTTACCTTGCTTTCTCAAAAAAGAAAGAGTTGTGGTATGCAAGAGCAGTTCAAGAGCTGAATTGTTAAGGTGTTGATGTAGTGGAAGAGGAACAGGTAACTGGAGGCAGTAGAGCTGTTAACCATTCTATGCTAAAACTCTCCCAAGCATGTCAGAGCACGGCTATTCCATGGTAGTGGGTTTTTCTGTGTTCTGTTTTAAATGAGTATTCATTGTTAATGCAGGTTTTTTCTCAGGACAATACATGGAGGTTCATTTAGTAGAGAATTTGAAGAACTTCCCTAGTTCTCTTACTGGCTTCTGCTACCAATTCAGTAAAATAAAGACATTGGGTAATTGGAATTTACAACAAAAATAATGCTCAAGCACCTTAATGTTTGAATATGTGATCACATTACCCAACAGGGCTGAATTGGAATCAATTTGTAGCAATCTCAGCCTTCTGAAAGAGCATTGATTTAAAAGCCCAAACTAGATTCTAAAATATATATAAATCTTACCATCTTGTAATTACTAGATCTGTCTCTGTACCACCCTAAAAAACTGATCAGTTACCCAAGCATCCAGTGGGTTATAAAACTAGATTAATCTGCTTATTAACCACCAACTAGACAAGGTTTGAAACTAAAGGATGGGAGCATTCCCAAGCAATACTGGTATTCCACTGCACACTTGACAGCCAAACATATATCTATATGATAATGAATTTCCATTTACCCAATACAAATTTACCACTTAAAGAATACCAGACAGATAGTTCCATTGGAGTATTGGTTCTCTTGCTATCCCATCAACATCATCCTTTACATCTTGTCTTCCAGATCATAATTTCTTAGACAGGCAGAGTCATTCATTAGAGCTTTACAGCATTTCTAGCATAACAAGCAGAATTTGTCACAAAGTAAAACTAAATTATAATGCAAACATTATAAATAAACTTACTTTTCCAGCCATTTCCACTGTAAGAAACGGGAAAAATACACACTTTCTTGGTAAGCTTCAAAAGGTCTTTTGCTTAGGTATTCATGGACAATTCTAGCAGGAAAATAAACAGAAAAATAAACCCCATCTTATTCCGAAAAAAAACTGATGAAGCAGGAGATGCTATTAATCTACCAACATATATTCAAACCCACCTAAATATCAGCCTCTTGGCAGCTATTTTACGCATGAATGACCTCGCAAATATGATGTCTGGAAGTATCTAACAGGTTTCACACATTCTTTGGAGACTGGTAAATGAAATTTTATTCTAGGATTTGAAATTGAAGTACTAAATGCCATATCCAAACCTGAACACCAGGCACCTCATCATTCCCTTAAATGAAACATACCAAGATGGAGGTGGGGAGGAAAACAATTAATTCAAACTGTATAAAGGTATTTACCACAGAGAGGAAAGGGGATGACCTACATGAGATACTCCGTTTGAGACACGTTTTACTAGGTCTTCTCACACATCCCTTTCAATCTTTTAATCTCACGTTGTTATAAAGCATGCTTATTTTTGTTGACAGGGAGATGACCCAAGCAGTGACAAAACATGAAGCAATCCTTCAGACATGATCAAGCATGCCTTGAAGAACCAGAAATATGAGAAACATAAAGGCTTCAAAAGACATGTAACACTCGTAAACATGTACCATCCCTCCAAGAAAAGCCTCCCCTGCTACTACTGTGTGAAATCCCAGTCCACGACTTCAGAACAAAACCAAGTTGTATTCTTTACTGCTAACTATCACAAGAGATCCTCTAGTCAGCCATCTCAGTGGAACATAACTGTTGGCCTCAGTTCAACCTGTTTTCAAGAACCTTAAACTGTGTAACATTGTTTTCAGAAACTTTTCAAGTCCCAGTTTACAACTTCACATTTTAATGAGTACCTTCATCATGGAGAGAAGTCACTCAAAAGGTAAGAATATAATAAAGAAAAATACTATTTAACTTCACAGAATACCTGGTAGCAGACAACAGTGTGATTTTATGCAGAAATAGCATAAAAGAAAAAGCTCAGCAAAAGTCAAACATCTAAATCACATCTGAAGGAAACCTAGCTCTAATAAATCTGTTCCAAATTTCTTACCTACGCTTATTTCAGAGACCAAATGTAACAACTTCATCTTTCATTTTTCTTAGAAACACATGAATTTCTCTTGTGATACTCAAACTTAGCACTAGACATTTTTAACTTACCTAGTACAGTCCATAAAAAGATCTTTAGAAGGGTTCTTTTCCAGTCTTGCTTTACATTCATTTACTGTTTCCTGAGGTATTTCTGGCAAGTGTGCTGCAGACTTGACATAATAAAAAAGAACGAAAAGCAACAACTACAGTAATTTTCTAAATCAATAGAAAAAGTTTTGTATTCAATGTGAAATTATATCTTTAATACAGGAAAAGAAAAGGAATGGTTTGGCTAACGAGAAAAATCAAGAAAGTCATATTTGAGCAAAGTTTTTATTTATTCCCTATTACAGAAAAATGTATTGAAAGCTATTCCAGCTATTTACTACTTCAGTATCTGGGGAAACAAACTTGGCAATAAGTCAAATTTCTTTTTCTTTCCATAAGTCTACCACCACAAAAACAAGTTATCTATTTCCCTTGGCAAGATGGAAAAAAGGAGAAAGAAACATAAACTCAAGTTGGGAAACTATTTCAAACCAGACCAAAGAAATCTGGGGGGGGGAGGGATGATTTGCAAAAAACTGCATGTGACTTATGCTACTACCAAAGATATTCTCGGCAGAGATGTAGCAAATTTAGATTTTATCTGCTTTTGAGGCATCTTCAAGACCTTCTTTTGTATAAGATGACCAGAGAAGCAGAAGGAGCATCTATTCATAGAAAGCAAATGTCTAATTATATACCCACAGAAAAGCTTCAGCTGGATACCAAAAAAGAGACTCTTAATAAACGCAAAAAATCAGCTATTAATGATCACCATGGAAAATAAAAAACCAGAATGCTCCAGAAGAAAAGAGCATTTCACTTTACAAAAACCTGCAGCAATTCTGCAAATATACAGCAAAGCAACCAAAGTCTGAAAGAAACCCAAGAATTTCTCATCTTCAGACCACAAAATTCTGAGTTAATTTGTTATTCAGTTTTCTTTAGGTGTTAAATGGAGAATAAACCATAGTCATAGTCTTAAAAGCAGAGATCAGTCAAGTTTTCTGCTGAAGTTGATTGAGTGGAATTTTAGAGCACACCTCTCAGAAAGATAAAAATGGGACTAATGAAGTTTGGAAGTCAATTCACTAAAAACAGTGCAACCATTTCAATCTATTTATCTGACATTTTTCAAAACGCTTGAGAAAATATTTTGTAACATAACATATTTACCCCATTAGTGAAGTACGTCTCTAAAACTTTGAGGCCACAGTCTATACGCTTTTCATCTGAAGATACCTCATATTCTGCCTAGGGGAATGGAATTGAAAATTGAATTAATGTTCAGAGCTTTTTGGCACTTAAGTGTTTTACATGATGCTAGGTAAATTTTATCATCAATAACACAATACTCTTAATATAAAAGGAACTTAAGGCTCTCATTGTTTAAAATCTATTTAGATTTTTAGGCTACATAGTGAAACGTATGAAGAACAGTCTTAGGGAAAAAGAAAAGCATATGGAATTTAACCTTTGGAAAACATACAAGACCTAACAATTAGTCTAAATGCAATTATAGAAACTGCATCCTAGAGGTTAAATTAGATCAATTATAATGAAATAGTATTTATGTAGTATTGTAGGACACAATGATCCAGAAGGAAAACAATAAGAGTACAATTATCAGCTTTTTCTTCACTGTACTTGTTTTCCTTCGTGTATTCTTCTTAGCTAAAGTCTTGGTAAAAAGAACGATAAAACTACTTTCTACAAGGTTATGTTAACTGGAAATAAGTGAGATCTAAACCAAAACCTACTTCATTCTTTGAAAAACTGAGTAGATACAAAATTTGTCAGTTTTTGACTTAGAAATATCTGATACTGAGATGCAGAAAAACAGCCTTGTGCAATACAGCGCGTTTTGCAGATAAACAACTGGCAGCTGAACAGAGGTAGCTACTTATGGAAAAAAAACCGCAACCAACAAACCATCACAGTTACTAAAACTGAAAAACTCCAAGGACTACTTACTATTCATAATTATAAGGAATAATCTAGAAGCAAACATCAGAAGTTACAACATTTAAAGATGACACAAAATCTGGGGAAAGATGAGTTAGAAAAGAGCCATCTCAAACAGCAACCTGTATTAGGTTCATAAGCTGCGCCAACTCAATCAAAGCTTATTTCACATTTCAGAATGTAAATGCATGTACCTAAGAACAAAGAATATATGGCAGACTTCCAGAGTGGAGGGCTGTATCATACAAAACAGTTGGGCATATTAGGACAACAACCATTAGGAACCTCACAGGAAGTTCCAAGTGACTGATCTAATCAGAAGTTATTTACCTTTATTAAGAAAACTAGAACATTGAAAAATGACAGTTCAAGAACCAAACACACACATACAATACTGGGAATAACAGAATCCCTGATCTCCAGTTCTGCAATTAATCACAACTAACCCACACTGACTCACTACTAAGTCATCAACATCTTTTTCTGCTGAGACATTATGGTATCACCCACTTCAGCCCAGTACTCAAATCCATTAACAATTGCAAGCCATTGCTTTTGCTACTTCCATTCCACTACAAAAAGTCTAATGGTAAGGAATTCTGGACCTATCAAACAACCTGAGCAGGCCAGAAAAGTTCATCAACCAGAAGTTCAGCAGTGCACTTAGCACCTTTAACATTTTCAATTATGCGAAAGAGGTCACTAATTCAATACAAATAGTCAGGCATAATGTTTTAAGTGGACACTGCAATTTAAAAGGAAGTTTGAGAGATGGCCTTTCCAATTAATCCTGTTACTCACAGAGTTTAAGAGGGAAGTTTGAGCTGTCACCCATTCCTTTTCATACTTAAGTAACCCCATCCCCAGCTAGTGAAATGAGTCACTAGACTGGATAACTGTAATTCCTCACTTTAATTTCTTTCACTTATATTCAATTATTTCACAACTCTTCTTTCTGTAAAGCCAAGCTGACTTCAGATTTTAAGGTCACACCTTCTCAAGAGTTGGAGCTTACCAGTCTTAGTAATCAGTACGGGTAGACAACACAGTATTTTACTACCTTGATTTTGGACTCCTGAAATCACAGTGCTCCATATAAGAGTCAGAAAGCCCTATTAACTAAGATGCAAGGCAGATATTGTATTTTGGGATGCACGTGTATCCAGTGATTCCCAAGCATAATTCTTCACTGTGATTCTTCAAATGGAAGTTAAATAATACATTTTAAAAAAAGAAAAGTAAATTGTGAAACCATCCCTTACATCAAATTATTTTAGTTATGACAGTCTTCATTAATTCACAGAAGAAGTGCTGTTATCTACATAACATTACAGGTTGCATATTTCAAAATAATTCAATTTTTTCAGTTAGTGTAAAACAGTTACTTCTTAGAGACAACTTCACCTGAAAACTGACATCTGCAGAGCAAAGACACACCTGCCTTACAGTCACGCCTAAGGCTTTTTCTCTTTTGTGCTGCCAAAGATTCTGCTACTCCTTAACCAAGCTTTTAAGGATTAAAAATGCGTACAGAAGTCGTAACCATTTGGACACATCCACAGTTGTCAGTGGTCTGGCTTACATTCACTTCAGGATATGAGCTCCACTGTTCTGGATTTCCATTCAATCCATTCTATGTCTCCAACTATCAAACTGATCTCTGGAATTTGGTGCTAGAACAGCTCCCAAGAGTCACAAAAATATGGTGAAATGCATCTGGGGAGGAAGCCTAATTCCATAAAGATTCATTGATAAATACAAAGCAATTGTACTTATTTGACACTCAAATTCCTTTTTGGCTGATATAGTGACTCAGTTTATACTCCCACGAGGGGAAGATACAGTGAAGCGGGAGGCACAGCAATAATCCCAGGGTACTTCCTTACACCTTGCCTCTTTCAGAGCCATCTTGCATTCGGATACTGTGTTTTGGGGACGCACGTAAGCAGCAGCACTACCCCATTTCTATATTCTTTAGTCATTTGTTACCAAGAATTAAGAACAAAAATGGGTGGAATAGAAAAAAAGCTTTTCCTTTGGCAGCAATCTCAGCTTAAGCCTATATCTCATTGCTCTTGGATTAACTATAAGGGACAAAGAATAAAATGCCCTGAGCTATTATTCTCTCCTCTTAAGGGCTGTTGTGTGCCTGCCTAATTTTCTCATTACTTTCCCCCTCCCAAAGAGAGTTTTGTCTGAGGATTTTTACAAAAATGGCTGTGGGCACACTTCCTTCCTCCCCTCATTCTTCAGCATTAGATACCAAGATGCAAATGTATCAAGACTTTTTCCCTTGGTCTCTGAAAATCTGGTTTTTCTCCTTCCATAGATGGTTCTCTGAATTTCCATCTCCATTGTATTGTTTTTAATTAGCACATGCTGTCTAGCCTAGGGCTTCCATGCAAGTTGCAACATTTCCAAGCCTCTGTTTAAAGGATTTTCAAGTCTGAGTATAGTCATAATCATCCTAGAGACACCCTTTCAGGCTTAAGAAGTTAAACGGCATGTCTTCCTGAAATTCCCTCTCTCTTTCCGATCATGCCCATGTTTGTAGCTCTGACCATACCAAGATGGCAGAGATTTTATAGTAAATATTAAACATCTTCCTTAAAGTTATAGAGACAGTTTTTTGACATACATCAGAAGTTACAGCTTTACAGTTGGCACAGGGTAGATCACACTATATTTTTGTGGATGCGGCATTAGGGAACAGACACGTGTAGAGAAAACTAATAAATTGTGGTGAGCTAACCCTAGGAGGCAGTTAGGCCCCACATAGCCTCTCACTCACTTCCCCCCACTGATAATCAGAAGGGCAGAAGTGAGAAATCCTGTGGCTTAAATTAAAGATAGTTTGATAAAGCAAAGCTGCATGTACAAGCAAAGCAAAGTAAGACATAAACTAATTTCTTCCCACTGGCAGGGAGACATTTAGCCATTTCCAGGAAAGCAGGGCTTCGGCACCACGCTAACAGCTAGCTGGCATGACAAACACCAAATTTTAACTTCCCCCCTTTCTCTTTCTTTCCCCAGTTTTTATTGCTGAGCACAGCACCATATGGTTTGGGATATCCCTTGGGGTCAGCTGTCCTGGCTGTGTCCACTCCCAACTTCTTGTGCACCCCCAGCCCACTCACTTCTAGGGCAGCAAGAGAAACACTGAAGGCCTTGACATTGTGCAATTATTGTTCAGCAAGAACTAAAACATTACAGTTATTAACACTGTTTCAGTCAAAAATCCAAAACATAGCACAGCATGACCTACATTGAAGACAATTAATCTATTCCAGCCACAGACAGCACAAAAATCAAATGTTTACATAAAATATATAAGCAATTGCCTATTGGTAACCATCTTCAATTTCTCAGTGCTTACCACTGCATCCAGAAATTCGATGCATCTTTTCAAATCTGGTCTGGAATCACAGAACTGTCTGAAGAGAAGTCTTCCTATAGGCTGTTTGTCACAAAGCTGGCTATAGTCTCTTTCTGGGAAAGAAACAATAAGTAAATATCTTTATTTATTTTATTTTTGTAATATCACAGTCCTTATTCCCACTTGAGGTCAGAACAACATCACTGAAACATGAAGATTTTACATTAACGTATTTAGCAAAGATACCATAAATATGCAATGATCCCAAAGAATAGTGAAACACTCTTCAGTCACATCTGACTCTTATAGACTATCACATTTACTAAAAACACATTGAATTATATGTTTGAGTTTCATTTAGGTTAGGGTGCAGAAAGCAACAATATTGTGAAAGAGCAATACCAAAGCAAATGAGATTGTTTGGAAAGAGGGAATACAAGATAATAACAGAAAAGGTTAAAAAATTATTACAAGACATTAGGGAAAAAGAGTGAAATATATAACCACATCATTCAATTTATAACATGAGCCTTTTTCTAATTCATGGTTTTGTAAATCTATCCTTTAGGAACAGTTTCCTTTAACAAACAAGGAGCTGGGATACAGCTTTTATCTTCTCATAAATTTATTTTCTCATAAATTCTCCATCATATTAAAAGTTCAATAGCTTTTTTTGCCAATTAGCACTGGGAAGCAAGACAGAATCCTTTCCATTAACACCACCAAACTGTTACCCTTCCGTCTCAAAAACAATCAGCCAGACCATTTAATTCTACAGGACACTTACCAATTGAGGATCTAATACCTTCACAGTGACTAACAGGTGGCAACTTCAGCATCTCTTTCCATTTTTTACTACGCCCACTCCGTTTGCCTAGAAGAAAAATATGAGTAATGAGTAATACTATGTCAGAATAAAATTAAACATAACATTAACAGCATAAAATTAGTTCCATTCTGCACAGATGTATCAGACTACCTTTCATGCCTAGACAGAAATTCATCTACAAGGATATCCAAACCAACAACAAACATAATATGGAAGAACTTCTACATGAAACACTGAAAAATGCAGGAAGTCTTTTGCAAGACAAATATTTCCCATTTTGGCTGTGTATATAGAATATCTCTGCAGAGACAAGGCAAATACCTAGGTATTCTGAAAGTTACAAACAAAACTGAAACATCAAAGACAGAAACAAAAAAAAATTTGAGAATTATCTCTTAACCATGGTAAAGAACGGAAGAGGTTAAAGTTGCGCAACAAAATACCAAGAACAAAGTTCTTGGATAATCAAGTTGTACATAAATATTCTCTTTCTTTTTCTAAGGGCAGTAAGACAAGACTCCTCTAATAAATGAGAGGGCACAGCTCAAATACACACCATTTATTCTAGACGATAGTAGGATACAGGATATCAGGAAGAACTTAGCTGTTGTGGAATTCAGATATTTTCAATGCTTCAGATTTCACAGCATTAGTATTGAATGGATTTAAAAAAATTATTACAGTATTTTTCCTATTGTTTCTCAAAAAATATAGCTGTGCTACTTCTTCTCAGTCTTCTACTGGACTTTTAACACATTGGCTTCTTCATGTCAAGGTAATCTCATTTACAGAAGATATTTATCAAAAAAGCAAACCTAGACACAGGAACATATATATATATATATATACATATATATATGCATTTGCAAACACAAAACATTTCAGCAGAAGAGTCATATTTTGCTGCAAAATATTTTAAAAGAAGATTTTGCTAAGTGATACGACCAGATGCATTTCCATGTGACAGAACAGTAGCAAATCTGCACAGAAACTTTCTAAGTGCACCAAAGCAGTACATACTGTTAACCACAATGGGAGAGAAAGGAAGGGAGTTACCCCATGCAACCCGAATAGAAACCAAGCTGCAAAGAGGACTCAACTCTTTCAGAATTAAATCATTAGGGAGAAAGGAACTAACACCTTCAGAATAACAAGTATTTAAAAAAAGCCCCCCTTCACTCAAACATACAGTTTCTTGAACAGTTCCACCATTTCAGTTAGAGCAGTCACAGCTTAGTGGACCTTAGCTCATACCAAATTTACATGATCCTGGCTAACAGAAACACTGACATCTCACTGTGCTGCTGCAACAAAACATTCTCAACTGTAGTATCCCTAGAAAAGTAAACAAATAGGGAATAAAAAAACCTGTAAACATTGCCTTGCAGACATTATTGCAGACTTATGCAGTAAGTGTCAGACAACTAAAACTTACTCTCTAAAAAAAACAACTTCTGCACTTCATTTCCTGATATCACTTATGCAGGTCATTTGCCTTCCAAAATGCTTTAGAATACAAACATATGGAATCTACTTCCCATCCCATGCTTCATGCAGTACCAGAATTAATAATGAAGTTGTAATTACCAGCATCATTAAAATAAACTCCAACTACTTGAACAAAATACTTTTGATCTTAAGAAGTTCAATATACACGTGAAAAAAATCAAATCACACAAAGCAAAGAGCCTTTCCAAGAGAACTGAATACAAACAAAATCAAGGAATATTGACATAGACAGCCTGTACACAGACACTGAATAACAAGGCCTGAGTATAGATTATTATGTGATCATGAAAAGCAATGGTCAGAAGTGTTAATTTTAGCCATGTAACCAAAAAATACACAGAAGGTCCACAGAAGTTATATTTTTTCTGTTAAAAAGTGCCCAGAAAGACTAATTTGTGCATGACACTGTACAATCAGTACTGACCAAGAATGACAAATTGACCCAAATTCATACCACACTGCTGTTTGGAAGAAGTAAAACTGAACTTTATGTACACCAAGTATACCATCTTCTGAAGCACAGTCAAAGAAAAACACCAAAACCACCCCAACCCAAAAAAAAATAGAGGGTCACTGGTGCATTATACTTCAAGTACAACACAAGAAAGTGCTGGACTTGTTTTCTTTTTGCCCCAAATATTTGGCCAGTTACTTATGATGTGACCATTATGAACTTCATTTTACAAAAAAGACCACATGCTAGAATGCAACTGAATTCATCATCCTATAGAAGCTGATAAAGACTACATATAATTTATTAATGACACAAAAGAATTGAGCGCTTAGGAATATCAACCACATCAACATGCTCTCTTTTCTCTGAACTGAATGTTCTTGTATTTACAGCAAATGCACTGTAAAAGTCTGTAAGTCCCAGTAATGTAAAGAGCCATTTCTGGTAAAAGTTATGGCAGGAGGCCAATTTGTTTGTCATGTTGCTCCCTAATTGCAAAATCCTTTTCCATTTCTGAAGCAGTTTAAAAGAAGAATCAAATCAAATTATAACAGTTGTGGTTTAAAAGTGTCTTAATATTGATTTCAGAGCTTCTATTCTGGATCTCATTCTAAAATACTTAAGATAAAATTCTTCCAGAAAGACCAACAGCTTACTTTCCAACAGAGCAGCAAAGCCATTAGGTTAATCTGCTTTATGGTTGACCTCTGTGGCTTAGATGAATTACCACTTTGCCTCTTTCAGATGTAATTGCTGGCTAAGAACAATGTCCAACTTGAAGCGACTCATCTTGTACAAAGAGAAGGGTGGATGCAGCAACACACCATTAGAGTGAGGAGAGACCACAATTACATTTGCAGGAACATGAGAACCTTACCTTCTTCTCCTCCCCAAATTACTTCTTAGAGTTACAGTTTCAACATCTGCCTCTTTACAGGTTTTCTCTTCTTAAAATGATACATACAAAATTCAGTTGGGTCATTGCACTATAATATGGCATGGGAAAGATGTTTAGATGTTTTAATTTCTCAATATTTTTTTTTAAACTTCAGAGAAATATTTGAAAAATGTATGTAAGGCAAAGTGGTTGGCTTATTCATCAGTAAAACCACAACTAGTTGCAAAAAAAAAAAGAAACTGCTGTGGTAAAACAAAGCAATCTATGTAGAGAAATAAGAATATATTTCAAGTCATCAGATGGACTTCCCACAGCCACAGTGATCTTTCTTACAGACAGGATTTGCAGACTGACTCTCATTTCACTGAGCACATTGTTCACTGAACATTACTGTCGTTCTTCCTTGAGACAGAAAATTTGGATTCTGTCAAACAGAATGAAAATGGTGAGAAGCATCGTAGTGTCTTTGGCTAATAAATGTACACAGACCATATGTGGTCACATTCAGTGGCTGTTCAGGGACCTCCGTGCCTCAGCTCTCCTGCCTGTGCAGGGCAAGCACCGTGTGTGTGTCTGGGAAGCACAGAGCTCCACAGCACCGGGGTGCACGATTGCTACAACTTCATTCTTGCAAAACTGATTCCACAAACCAGACTGTCAGATACCAGCTGAGAAATTCATACTAGACCACACCCAGATAAGCTCTGAAAGCATAAAACTGTAACAAGATGACAACCCACAGCACGCCTTTAACTGTATAAATCAAATCAATGGCTTCAATGAAAAAATGCAAAACAATTGATACAGAAGCTATACATCACCTACACTGAGATGCATGAAAATAACCCAGGCACATACAGTGCCTTAAAATACGTATTTCCCACAGCAGAGACAGTTTTAGACATGTTTCCTAACAGGTTTAAAACTCACATGAATTCAAATCTTCTCCTACTTGCACATTTTCCTTCAAATGACTCACAATAAGGATTAAAAGTTTTCACTAAAAAAAAAAATTCAAAACATTCCTGTTAAACTGTGGCCTTATGCTATACAGACGTTTATAAACACTGTCCATTAAGTAACAAATTTTGATGGTAAGCCCTTACTGGGAAAGATCCACCTTCAAGACACAAAATACTGGGGAACTATTACCTCAGGTCCTCAGATCAGACCATAACACTGGAGTAGCACTGAGTTCAGGCTGGAAGACAAGTTCACACACACCACCACTTGAGAAAGGCTGTTGTGCTTCCAGTTCTAGAGACAACTCATATGCTACTGCTTTGAGGATCACTGCAGCCTTCTCAACCTTCTCCATTCTGCAGGTCAGATGTGTTTTTCAACATCTGTGTTCCTTCAAAAACAAGTCTGGTCACAGCTTAACAACTAGGTTAAATAGAGTGGCAACTCTTTTCTATGGAGAAAGATTTTTTTTTTTCCCCCCAGACATATGAGACATAGAATCTGGCTGGTTCTCAGTAAATTCACAAGACCACCTGGCTGAAAATCCAGGTTTCAGCACCAGGTAGGCACCTAACTCGTCAGCATTTCAAAGGCCAAGGCACTTGTGAACGCAAACAGAAGCAAAAATGCAAGCAGTACAATAAATAAACACATCAAAGACACCTACAGGTTACAGACTGTTATGGCCTTTATAAGATAATATCACTCACACTCCTGGATTCAAGTGCACAGAGTTGGACTTCAGCAAGGTAATGCTGGAGTCCTCTCGCTTATCTGCCTGTCAGCACAGTGACACTGGGAGCAGTTCAAGCCCAGCTCTCGATGTGAATATTTGTGCAGCTTGTTTATGTGCACAATCCCTTATTGTTCCCACAGCTATAACCACTCGAACAACTGGTTCTTCACATCGGCTCTCCACACAACTCCAGGGATCATGTGCACATGGAGGAATGCTGGTGCATACACATTGCACAGCTCCTGCACTTCCAGCAATTAGGTACGGAATGAAAGTCTTGTAGCAACTTAAGTAAATGTAACTCATATGAACCAGAACTTGTTAATCTAAGCTTGCAATCAAACAATGTAACATCTGTGTATACATTTCATTTTGAAGTGTCTATAACAAATTAATGAACAGGATTTACTAGAGGGGAAAAAAAACAGTAAGAAAACTATGATTTTACAGACAACTCCTTGACAAACAAGGTTTTTTTTTATCGT